TTTTGGTTCTGTTTATGTGGTGAATTACGTTGATAGACTTGCGTGTGTTGAACCAGCCTTGCATCCCTGGGATGAATCCTACTTGATCATGATGAATAAGTTTTTTGATTTGCTGTTGCAATCGGCTTGCCAATATTTTATTGAAGATTTTTGCATCTATGTTCATCATGGATATTGGCCTGAAGTTTTCTTTTGTATTTGTACTTTTTAAAACACTGACCACTTGTTTCACATAGTTGTACCAATTTATCCCAATAGGAACCTGTGAGGTACCTGCTTCCTTTCAGTGTCTTTAACAGAATGTGTTTAGTTTTTGGCTTCTTGCCATTTGTTAAATGAAATTATTCTCAATGTAGTTGTAATTTGTAATTTTCTCTTAAAAATGAGATTGAACACCTTTTCACATGTTTAAGAGAAAATCTTTTTAAACATGATATAAAGACATAGACTATGATATGGAGAAATAGATCAGAGGAAAAAATGATGGAAAGACTTGACTATATAAAAAATAAAATAAAAACTAAATGGCAAACTGCAGTAGAGGAATTATTGCAACATATGACAAAATAAATAGCTTTGATATACACTTTTATTAAAAATCAGTAATAGCATTTGTGGAAATGTAAATTATCTCAATTTCTATGGAAGACAATACGGAGATTTCTCAGAGAATTAAAAATAGAACTACCTTTTGACTTAGCAGTCCCACTGCTGGATATCTACCCAAAGGAAAAGAAACCAGTATATAAAAAAGACATCTGCATTTGTATGTTTACTGCAGCACTGTTCACAATGGCAAAGTCATGAAATCAACCTAAATGTCCATAAGTGGTTGGACTGTGCAGCCATAAAAAAGAATGAAATCATGTCCTTTGTAATATCGTGGATGGAGCCAGAGGCCTAAGTGAAGTAACTCAGAAAAAGCCAATCAAATATTGCATGTTCTCATGTATAAGTGGGAGCTAAACAGTGGGTATACGTGGACATTAAGATGAAAATAATAAACACTAGGGACTCCAAAAGGGGAGAGTTGGGGGTGAGAGTAAAGGCTGAAAAATTACCTATTGGGTACAGTGTTCACTATTTGGGTGATAGGTATGCTAGAAGCCCAACCCCCATTATGCAATATAACTATGTAATTTTAAAATAAAATTTTTAAATGTCAGTAATAACACAGTATTCTTTCATGAAAAAATGGACAGATGACATGAATATGCAATTTTGAATGAAAAATTGAAGTAGCAATGAAACCCATTTTTAAAATTCAACCTCTCAGGTAGGAAATGAATTGTAAATATAAATGCCTTTGCTATACAATTGGTTATTTTTTTATATGTATACATATGGTTCTTCTCCTAAATGAAGCAGACGGATATTGCACTGTATAAATTCTGTCATTTTTATATGTGGTAAAGTTTCCAATTCCTTCCCCACATCTCCTCTCTGTCCCTTTCACCCCCAGAGGACCTAGATATTTTGGATAGCAGAGTCTTACATCATTTGTCACCATGAATTGCTCGACAGTTGAATGCAGGCAGTAATAGATGCAAGTGCAGTTACTTATTAAGCACTTTTCCTTTTAAAGGTGAAATGGAATATCTGTAATTATGTGTTAGAATCTAGAAGAAGTTGGTTCAATTCAGCAGAAGCATTTATTGAACAATTGCTCTTATGTGCCATGTACCTTGATCTATAGTGAGAATAAAAAGATACGAACTTTGCTTTCAAGTAACTCATTAATCTTATTTGTGTCTTTATGCATTAATTTCTCCAGTTTTATAGTTTTATTTTTAAAGAAGCAGGTAATCTGTTTTCTGAAAATTTATTCCAGGCCTCCATTTATTATTCACATACTGTACAGTTCACCCATTTAAAATGTACAGTTCAGTGGTTCACAGAGCTATGCAACCATTACAGCAGGCCGTATTAGAATATTTTCATTATCCCCAAAAGAAACTCTCTACTCATTAGCAGTCATTGCCCATTCCTCCTTTCCCATTCCTTGGCAACCACTAATCTACATTTTGTCTCTGTAATGGAATAATACATTTTTTGTAAATGGAATAATATATTATTCAGTCTTTTGTGACTAGCTTCTTTCACTTAGCGTGTTTTCAAAGCTTATTCATGTGGCAGCATGTATTACTACTTTTTCTTTTATGGCAAGTACAATTCTATTGTATGGATATACTGTATTTTATTCATCAGTTAATAGGCATTTGGGTTGTTTCTACCCTTTGTCTATTTTGAATAATACTGCTATGAATATTCACGTATATGTTTTTGTGTGGCTATATGTTTCATCTGTTTTTGGCATATATATACCTAAGAGTAGAATTGCTGGGTCATATGGTAACACTATGTAAGCCCATTGAGGAAATGCCAGACAGTTTTCCAAAGAGGTGCAACATTTTGCATTTCCAGCAGCAGTGTATGAGATTTCCAATTTCTCCACATTCTCAACACTTGATCTATCTTTTTGATTATCGCCATCCTAATGGGTATAATGTAGTATCTCATTATGGCTTTGATTTACAGTTCTCTAATGTCTAAGAATATTGAGCATGTTTTCATGTGCTTTATTGGCCATTTGTATAAGCAATTTTGTATCTTTCTGACCATTGTTTTATAGTCACTTCTACCTCTGATCACATCCTGGAAAGGTTCTCTACTTTAAAGGATTGATGTCATTAAATTTTCTCACCTGGATAATTCAGGATAATCTCAAGGTATTTAACCTTAATCCCATCTGTAAAGTCCCTTTATCAAGTAAGGCAGTATGTTCACAGGTTCTGGATATTAGGCCATCTTTAGGGACCAGTTTTCTTTCTATCACGCTATCTTAGCAATATTAAGTCTTTTGATCCATCAACATGAGATCTTTTTATTTATTTAGAATGTCTTTAATTTCTTTTAATGATGTTTCATATTTTTGTGTACATCATGTAACTTAAAAATTGTCCTTAAGTATTTGATTCTTTTTGAACAATCATAAATGGAATTATATTCTTACTTTCTTTCATTTTTATATTGTTTCATTTTGTATTGTTCATTGTTATAATATAGAAATGTAATTTATTTTTACATATGAATCTTGTATCTTGCAACCTTGCTCAACTAGTTTATTGTTCTAGTAGATTTTTATTGGATTACTTAGAATATTCTGTATTTATGTTCATGTCATCTAAGAATGGAGATAGTTTTACTTCTTTCTTTTCAATTCTCATGCCTTTTATTTCTTTCTCCTGCCTACTATCCTGGCTAGAATTTTTAATGTATTGTTGCATTGAAGTGGTTAGAGCAGACATCCTTGTTTTGTTTCTGATGGTAGTGGGAAAGTATTTAGTCTTTCACCATTAAGTGTGATGTTACTGTAGATTGTTTGTTAGTGCCCTTTATCCTGTTTAGGAAGCTCCCTTTTCTTCCTAATTTGTTGAGTGTTTTTGCCACAAAAGGGTATTGGATTTTATCAAATGCTTTTCTCTGACTCTATTGAGATGATAATGTGTTCTTTAAATAATAGCATAATTGAGGTATAAATCACATATCTTAAAATTCATTATTTTAAAGTATACAATTTCGTGATTTTAAATATAGTCACAGAGTGTACAACGATCACCACTATGTAATTTGAGAACATTTTCATCACCCCGCAAAAACCCCTGTACCCATTAGCAGTCACTCCTCATTACCCCTTCCTCCCAACCCCTGGGAATCACTAACATACTTTCTGTCTATGGATTTGCCTATTCTGGATATTTCTTAGAAATAGAATTTCACAATATGAGACTTTTGTTTTTTGGTCTGACTTCTTTCATTTAGCATAATGTTTTCAAGATTCATCCATGTTTTAATGTATATCAGTACTTAATTCTTCCGATTTCAGGATGGCTCTTTTCAGCTTTCTTTTTCCCTGGTTATCGCTGATAAACTAACCAACTTAGACCCTAAATTGTTATTCTCATAAAGCTATCTGCTTCCTCTTGATTGTTTACCACCCAAATCTCCATTTTATAGAGTAAGGTTTTGGGCTTGAATGTCTTCACACTCTGTTTCAAATGAAATCAGTTCTTTTGGGGATGGCTTAGGAGCTCTCTGTTCTCATGAACGGCCTTTATCTCTAGGCAGAATCGTTCAGCCAGTGCTTTGGGTACTGGGCAGTGACATTAGCCACTGGTCTTCTTGCTTACCTCTTCAGGTGTGGACCTTAACCCTGCAAGTGAACTGGGGTGGGACAATCAGAGTGAGGGTGATTGGGGCCTCAGTATTCTCAGCCTTCTCTGCTTTGGGTAGAACCTCCACCTGTGAGTAAAGGAAGGGAGCCCCTGAACTCTTAGGTGTACTCTACAGGAATTTCATCCTTTCATCTCTGTGTTGGAGGTGGGAGGGAATGCTGGCTACCTGTCCCTCCCATTGGGATGCTCTATTCCTTGGTTGGGAGCTGAGGTCAGAGGGAGTCCAGTTTTGGCCACCCCTCTCTGGAGAGTAGCTTCCATCAAGGTGAGCAAGGGGATGGTGGAAGGAAAGGAGTGTTTTGTGGCTCATATGCCATTGGATGTTATTGTTAGATTACTGAGTTTTAGCAGATTTTCTTGAATAAATGTTTCTTCATTTGCTATGGGCTCTTAGAACAATATTCAGCCATTTCCTGTTTTTTAAAACATGCTTTTTGCTGGCTATGAATTTAGTTGGGAATGGGTCCATGGGACTTTTATGCTGCAGTTCTAGAAGTGGATCCCTCCTCTTAGGACTACTTTTTCAGTAAAGTAGAATTTCTTTGTTATGATGGTGCTAGAAGACTGGCTATACTAAAGTAGTACCAAAGAACTTTCTTGTTTTTAATCAAGCTTTTACTCTTATTGATTAGGTTTCAGGATACCTTGCTTTGTTTTTATTTCTCCGTATTAATGAACCTTGTTATAATGGTGTTTTACTTTGAAACATTATTTTTAGTGATATATTTTTCTGCTTTGTTTTTTTTTTTTTTTTTTGTATTTTAGGTTTGGCTCCAGCAGCTACTATTGGTACCACCACTAGTTCAAGCACCATGCAGTTTACCTCAGCATCAAATGTTTTGACCTCCACTGCTGGTGTTGGGCTCTCATGTAAGTTACCAATTCCAAAGAAAATACTCTTATTTCACATGAGGCTACCTTACTCAATTTGCCAGGATAAGATACAAATCTCCTGTATCTCAGAAATTATCATTTTTCTTGAACTCATTTATAATTGCTTATAGTAGCTTTGCTTAAGAACCTAATTGTCATGGCTTTAGCTGTTAATTTTTTTTGTATTAACATGGTTATTATAGCTTAAAATGCTAACTTTAAGAGCACAATTTGTTAATATTGTGATATTTTGAAAAAACTTCTTGAAGTTGTTAACAATACCCAGAGTGGGAGTTTTGCCAAGTATGTCTGAAGGGAAGAAGCCCTTATTATCCATGTAACTAAGATAAAATGGGACATAAATGTTGGAGCCTTGCTGTAGTGTATTTTTCAATATTGACCTGGTTTGTGGTCCTTACATTTTACTGATCAGAAGTGGAACGTGACCAAGGACCAGCTGTAGTTTTGGGCTTCTAATTGACATTATGTGATGTCTTGTGACCTCTCCCCCTGAAGAGGACTATGTAGCTGAGTGCTTTCAGCTGAGACGTGAGATATTATCTTGTAACCCCAACTTCTTGGTTACACATTTTCCATTAGTATAGTAATAGCAAATGTTAAAAATATTAAATTCAGGCCAGACTCAGGGCTCATTGCCTATAATCCCAGCACTTTGGGAGGCTGTGGCAGGGAGATTTCTTGAGCCTAGGAGTTTGAGACCAACTTGGACAACATGATGAAACCCTGTCTCTACAAAAAATAATAAAAAATTGCCGGACATAGTGATGCATGCCTGTAGTCCCAGCTATTGGGGAGGCTGAGGTGGGAGGATTGCTTGAGCCCAGGAAGTCAAGGCTGCAGTGAGCCAAAATTGCACCACTGCACTCCAGCTTGGGTGACAGAGTAAGACCCTATCTCAAAAAAAAAAATTAAAAATTAAATTAAATTAAGAAAGAAAAGAAAATACTGAATTTTGTATGACTTAGACAATTCTTTCTTACAGATCTTTATAAACTGACTTATTTCAAGGTATTTTCTTTACAATGTCATAATTGGCATAGTTAGGCATTAGTTAAGATTGGTTATGACAGGAGTTATATACCACTTAGATTTCAGTTTTGAGACATGACTATGATTCTGGAATCCTTTTGATATATGTAAACAGTATCCTTCTCAACTATGATAGAGTTCATGAATATGACCATGTCCAAGGTTTGGAGTTAAAATTATTGAATAAATTCCATGTTCAGTCAAAAACTTGCTCTCTGACTTTTGACAGGTTCCCCCACTTTTCTTCTTCTGATGTCCTTGCCTACATAATGAAAAGATATCAGGACCACAATATTTTTTAATTAACTTTAAGGAATTATAACTTACACATCATAAAGTTAACTTACTTTAAGTATGCAATCCAGTGATCTTAGTAAGTTTATTGAATTGTGTAACCGTCACCATATTTAGTTTTAGGACATTTCCATCATTCCAATAAGATCCCTCAGCCACAGACAAGCACTAATCTGCTTTCCATCTCCATAGATTTGCCTTTTTTGGACATTTCATATAAATGAATTGACCATAGTGTTTTGAAGTTTAACCAAAGGTTTCTAAAGGATTCTTCAGATGAAAAAGGCTATATAAATTTCTCACTGTTTTTGAAATAAAGGGTAATAGCTAATATTATGTTGTTCTCTGCAGTTGGTGCTCCAACAATTTCGGCAAGAACACTTGGTGTTATAACTTTGGGATTTGCATTAAAATTTTCCGGAGCAGGTGGAGCAGCTCTTACTGCAGTTAGTAAGATTTTAGAATTATTGGAATGTCTTGGGACTCTCGTTGGAAATGTGCTTCATAACAAGCAGTAAGTTCTATGGTTTTTAGGGCTAAGTGGTTTTGACCATCTCATCAGAGTATCCAAAAGGTACACAATATATTTATGTAAATGATTGCCAAAGAGTAGAATGAGATAGTTGATATCGATGATGTTATTCCTTTGAGATGACTACAGGCAAAAAAGCTGTCACATTCTTGTCAACCATGAAACTTAAGATTTTTTGTTATTGATCACAGTGTTTAGCCAGTTGAGACTGATGAAGTTTTGATTTTTTTTTTTTTGTAAAAGTTAGTTTAGGTTTTGACCTCTATTAAAATTGACCCTCTTCTAAAGTTGATTACAGGAGTTTCCCTAGACCTATTCTAAATTTGTTTCTGCCAGTTAGGAGCTAGTTAAGTTGTGGTTATCCATTGCCCATAGCTATTCTGAGTTAGGTGGTAAGGGGTCATCTACTTAAACCTATCCTTTAAGTCAGACTCAATTTTGGAGAAGTCTTACTTGTTTTTACTTTAAAAAGTTTACTTAGGGATGAAATGAATCTTTCTTTAATTTGGCTTAAATTAAAAGTCAATCCCTTTTAAGCTTAAAATAATTATTCCTAAACAGAGATATATCTCATCTCTTTCTTTTTATTTTTAAGATACACTCTCACTTTGTCACCCAGGTTAGAGTGCAGTGATGTGATTATAGCTGACTGCAGCCTAATCTCCTGGATTCAAGCGATCCTCCCACCTGGGACTGTGGGCATGTAACACCATGCCCAACTGATTTTTTTTTTTCAGTAGAGACAAGGTCTCACTGCATTGTGCAGACTGGTCTCAAACTCATGGGTTTAAGTGATCCTCCCACCTCAGCCTCCTGAATACCTGGGACTACAGGCATGTGCCACCACACCTGGCTGATTTTTTTTTTTTTTTTAGTAGAGATGATGTCTCACTGCATTGTCCAGGCTGGTCTCAAAGTCCTGGGCTCAAGCTATCCTTCCACCTTGGCCTCCCAAAGAGTTCAGATTGTAGGCATGAGCTACCACACCTGGCCTCATCTCTATTTCTTCTTTTACATAACTGTCTGAGTTACTACTGTTTAGTAGGCTAACTGGCCAACAGATGAGACTTGTGAAGGGTATGCCATAAGAACATTGCAAGTTACTATATTTGCAAAAAATGTGACACATTGTTTCCCTGAAAAATAATGAAAAAAAACCCTGATTCTTTTAGTCATGGGTTGGATCACTGAAATAGGAATTGGCAGGTTCTTTCATGACTCTGTCATACCCAGCCCTTTTCTATATGTCTCAAATTCCTTCCTACAAATATTACTTTTGCCACTAGACCATCCCTTAGCATCAAGATATGGTTTGGCTGTATCCTCACCCAAATCTCGTCTTGAATTGTAGCTTCCATAATTCCCACATGTGGGAGGGACCTGGTGGGAGGTAATTGGATTATGGGCATGGGTCTTTCTCATCCCCATGGATCTTTCTCAACCCAAATTTGGGGTGTTTTTTTCCTCTACTTACCTTTCTTTCTCTTCAAGTGTATTTACTTATTTAGATTCTTTATCTCACTAAGCAGTCTTGTAGAGCAGCTTTCAAGCATCTGTATCTGCAAATTTATAGCCATTTGGGATTACTCTGTGCCCTAGGTATAATCAGCAAATGTTTTATTTTATAGTCTGGGAAGGTGTTGATGTCCACTCCCAGTATGGAATAAGATGCAGAACTGTTGATCAGGGACAGGATAGGAAAATTGGATAGTAGTATATTTTAAGGGATATTTACACTATTTTATGTAATGATTTTTAAGACTATCAGAATGAGATTTATTGAAATGTGAGTTCAAATTTAGTATGTAGTTTTTTTGTATTAGTTTTAGAGCCATATTTCTCTTTTACTACACAGATAATGTGGTATTGACTGTATTAACTGGTTAAAACCGAAGTTGTAATTTGCAAAATCAGACTGTGATAGAACTTTCAAACCCATTCCTTTTTTGGTATTAATTGAAATATTATTATTTGAATATGCCAGAGTTAATTTATGCCTTTAAAAATAGCATGAAAAATAGCAAAAATAAAACTGTATAAAATGTTACAATAATCATACCATTTTAAAATGACTCAGGATTCCTTTATGTTTGGGCTGCTTATATATAAAAACAATACATACATGCATGTATACATATCACTACCTCTAGAGAGAACAGTTTGCTTATCTATCTAGACTTCTTTCTAAGCATATACAAACATTCTTTACATTTGTCTGTGTGTGTGTGTGTGTGTGTATACACATTCTTAGAATTTGCTGTTTCCTCTTGAGGATGCAGCTTTTATTTTTTGAGACAAAATCTCGCTCTGTCACCCACTTGGCCTCTCGAGTACCTCAATCATAGGCGTGTGCTACCACGTCTGGCTGATTTTTGTATTTTTAGTAGAGACGAGGTTTCACCATGTAGGCCAGGCTTGTCTCGAACTTCTGAGCTCCAGTGATCTGCCTGCTTCTGCCTCCCAAAGTGCTGGGATTACAGGTGTGAGCCACTGTGCCTGGCCAATTATACATCTTAGAATATCTATCCATGTTAGGAAATACAGATTGCTTTATTAGAAAACCATCTTTGGGTAAAGATATTCTCCTTTACAAGAAGGGGTCATTTAAAAAAATTTTTTCTGTCTTGAATGTAGTAGTTACTCAGTGTTTGGGTGAATTAATTACTAAAGGGAGTCTATTGGTATTATCATTAATTTTTAGCATTTCTGGGGAAAGATTTCCTTTCAGATAAGATTTTTGTTCTCAGATGAATAAAATGATTACTTATAGTTGTAAAGAATATCACACAAGATCCAATCTGTAATCTCTCCATTGTTCTAACCATAGTGACTCCTGGGCTTCTTTGTAATTGGGCATGTTCTTCCTCTGTGGTGCACATTTCACCCTCACAAGGGCTAACATAAAGAATGGGGAATTATCATAAGAACTTTTGTGGCCAAAAAGGAAATGGAGCCTTGTGAAATTCTAGTAAAGTCATTGACATGACACTCTTACCTCAAGGAAATTGGACCTTAAGAATTATTCTTAAGGCAGTTTTAGGGACCTCCTAAATCAAATATTGCATAAGCATAATTTGGTTACTCTCTCTTTGTCTACTTTTTCTTTTTTAAAAACTTCTCATTGGTTTCCTTATCTCTTTTTCTGCCGTTGTTTTACCTTATTCTTAATTTTGACTTGCTTATGGTCCGTCACTTCTACTTCACGTCCTTCCTCTGTCAGTCCTTTCAAATCTCTCTGCCTATAGTTGGATTCCTTTTATACTTTTGGAAATATTTCCCAGTACCTGCCTAGAAGCAGATTTTTTTTCCATATTGCAATATTTTTGGAAATGAAATTCTGACTCATCTTAATCCTGTTTGGCTAGAGCTTTTTGTGCCAGACCCTCAGGTAGGCTGCTATTAGTACATTGGATGGCTTCCCATCCTTCACTTGGCCATCCTGCACAATCAACTGTGAACAAGGAACAAAAAGGACAGAGTTATCTGGACAAGTAATGGGTATTTGAGCTTGTTCCCTCAGCAGGAATGTTCCCTCAGGCTAGCCTCCCTCAGAGTAGTCAATGCTTTTAGCAAGCAGGCACCATGGTTTATGCATTTATCTAGTGTGGCCATTAACCTGAAAATATTGCTAATTGAGAAAGCAGGTTAACGTAAAATAAGCAATCATGTACATTATATTTTCATAACAGATTTCTTGTTACAGAAGTGGCATTTACTATTTGTAAGAACATTTGAAAATACAGAGAACCAAAAAGAAGAAAATAAAACCTTCCCAGCTCCCTACCAGCCACAATTTTCTGTGCATTGTTCATTAAGTGCTCAGTGTATAATAAGAACCAAAAGTACTACAAAAGTTCAGAAAACCAAAAGAAAATTATAAGTAGGAGAGAAGTGGGTGATAAATATGGGGAACAAAGAATTTGAGTCAAGCCATGAAGTATGCTTAGGATTTTATCTATGGAGAGCAGGACATTCTAATAGAGGTGTAACCGAAAAAGACATAGGAGAGAGGTCTTGGCTGTAGATAAAAGTTTGAGAAGCTTTTTCCTAGGGTTTGCAAAAATGTATGCCTAGTATTGGCTGTGATATAGAGAAATAGGCACTCTTTTCTATTGATAGGGACATAAATTGGCAAAATTATTTAGATAGGGCAATTTGGCAAGTTATGTTAAAATTTAGAGCATGCTGACACTTTGATCTATAAATTTTATTTCTAGGAATTAATTACACAGGTACAGTCATGTAAGTATGCAAAGATATAGATGTACAGAGATCTTTTATAAATTGCAATTATTCTTTTCTTGAAAGTTTAGTAAAACTTACCAACAATGGCATCTGGGACTAGAATTTTCTTTATTAGAAGAATTTTGAGGATTGATTTACCCAGTTATTGGGCGACTTAGAAGTTTTATTTTTCTATGAATTTATCCATGAGTTTTAGTTTTCAACTGGAAAGTTAATTTAGGTACCTGGCCTGCCATATATTATTTCATATTACAACAGTGTTGAGTTCAAATCCACAACTTTGAGTTCCAATTTGTATGTTTAAAAATGCCTCCATAATTTTAAATCTGAATGATCAAGGCTTAAATAAAACAAATTTCTCATTTCTTACTAACATTATACAGTTTATTTTCCAGTTACAACTTCAACGACTGCCACCACCACAGTCACCACCACCACTATTACCACAGTCACCAGTGGCTTTACTGTGAACCAACAACTGTCATCAGGAGGGTTTGAAAACCGTGTACCTTATATTTCAACTGTTAGGTAAGCCTATTTATTTGAAAATTTGCATGTGTTTTATTTTATTTATCATGTACAAGACATTTGCTTGGATAGCTTTAGAATATTTGAAAGTTAGCTACATGACCAAGTTGAGGGAACAGTTAGAGAAAGATTTCTGTAGTTTAGGAATTTGAACAACCAACAGCATGCCTTGCCTTCTGAATATTGTTATAATATAATCATTACTATTACTAATAATAGCTACCACTTATTATGTAATTACTTATGTTTAGCAAGATGACAGTGCATTACAAGCATCATGTCATTTATCCTCACAGTAACCCTATGAGGTAGGCACTATTTTCGTTCCCATTTTATAGATGAGAAAAGAAGAGCATTTAGAGATTTTGTAATATACTCATAGTTGCATACTTGTTAATGGTTGAGTCAGGATTAAAATTCAGACAGTCAAGTTCTGGAGCCTGTATACCATGCTTCTCTCTAGTATTTGTTCATTTTTTAAATTAAACATTTTATTTTGAGATAATTGTAGAGTCACATGTATATGTAAGAAATAATACACAATATTCTATATGGTCTTTATATCATTTCATCCAATGATAACATCTTAACAGTACTATAGTATAATATCACAACCAAGATATTAATATTGCTACAGTCAAATACAGAACAGTTCTATCACTACAAGGATTCCTCCTGTTGCCCTTGTGTAGCCACCCCCACTCTCTTCCTTTCCTTGACTCTGAGCAACAATTAATCTGTTTTCTATTTCTATAATCTTGACATTTTAAGAGTGTTGTACAGATAGAGTTATACATATGTGACCTTTGGGGATTGGATTTCTTAATTCAGCATAATTCCTTCTGATCCACCCAAGTTGTCACGTGCATCAATAGTTTGTTCTTTTTTATTTCTGAGTAGTATTCCCTGGCATTGTGGATGCACAATGGTTTATTTATCCATTCACCTGTTGATGGACATATAGGTTGTTTCCAGTTTTTTGGCTATTATGAAAAAAGTGACGTGAACATTAGTGTACAGGTTTTTTAGGAATATAAGTCTCATTCCTCTGGGATAAATGCCTAGGAGTACAGTTGTTGGGTGATGTGGTAGTTACATGTTGTTTTTTGGTTTTGTTTTGCTTTTTTAAGAAACTGTCAAGTTCTTTACCAGAGTACTGTGCCATTTTACACGCCCACTAGCAACGTATGGGTGATTCAGATTGTCTACATTCTTGCCAGGATTTGGTGTTGTCACTACTTTATATTTTAGCCCTTCTGACAGATGTGAAGTGATATCTCATTGTGGTTTTAATTTGCATTTCCCTGATGACTAATGATGTTGAATATCTTTTCACATGTTTATTTGCCATCAGTGGATCCTCTTTGGTGAAATGTCTATTCATATCTTTTGTCCATTTTCTACTTGGATTATTTGATTTTTTACTGTTTAGTCTGGAGAGTTTGTTATATACTCTAGATACCAGTCTTTTGTCAGATATGTGGCTTTTAAGTATATTCTTTAACTGTGTAACTTGGCTTTTTATCCTCTTAACAGGGTCCTTTTGCTGAATAAAAACTTTTAATTGGTGAGTTATAATTTATTACATTTTCATTTAATGAATTGTGCTTTTAGTGTCAATTATAATAAATCCTGTATTAGCCCTAGATCCCAAAGATTTTCTTCTATTTTTTTCTAAAGTTTTATAGTTTCACATTTTACATTTAAGCTTGTGATCCATTTTGAGTCAATTTTTATATAAGGTGTGAGGTTTAGGTCAAGATTAATTTATTTTTGTCTGTGGATGTCAAGTTTTTCCAACATCATTTATTGAAAGGCTATCTTCCCCCTGAATTGCTTTCACACCTTTGTCAAAAATCAATTTGTGTCAAATGCTTTTTCAGCCTCAATTGATAAAGTCTTTTAAGATTTTTTTCTTTATCTTGGTGAAGTGGTGGATTACACTGATTGATTTTTAGATGTTTAACCAGCCCTGCATATGAGAAATAAATCCCACTTGATCATGGTGTATAATTTTTGATACATTTTTAAAAATTTGGTTTCCTGGTGCTATAAGGACTTCCGTATCTAAGTTCATGAGAACTAATAGTCTGTAGTTTTCTTCTTTTTTTATGCCTCTAGCTTTGGTATCAGGGTAATATTGGCTCTATAAAAATGATCTGGATATGGAGAAATAGGAACACTTTTATACTGTTGGTGGGAGTGTAAATTAGTTCAACCATTGTGGAAGACAGTGTGGCAATTCCTCAAGGACCTAGAAATAGAAATTCCATTTGACCCAGCAATCCCATTACTGGGTATATATCCAAAGGACTATAAATCATTCTACTTTAAGGACACATGCACACGAATGTTCATTGCAGCACTGTTTACAATAGCAAAGACCTGGAACCAACCCAAACGCCCATCGATGATAGACTGGACAGGGAAAATGTGGCCCATATACACCATGGAATATTATGTAGCCATCAAAAACGATGAGTTTGTGTCTTTGTAGGGAAGTGGATGAACCTGGAAACCATCAGTCTCAGCAAACTGACACAAGAATAGAAAATCAAACACTGCATGTTCTCACTCATAGGCGGGTGATGAATGATGAGAACACATGGACACAGGGAGGGGAGCACTATACACTGGGGTCTGTTGGGGGGAAATAGGGGAGGGACAGTGGGGGGGGGGGAGTTGGGGAGAGATAGCATGGGGAGAAATGCCAGATATAGGTGAAGGGGAGAAAGGCAACAAACCACATTGCCACGTGTGTACCTATGCAACAATCTTGCATGTTCTTCGCATGTACCCCAAAACCTAAAATGCAATAAAAAATAAAAAATTAAAAAATTAAAAAAAAATAATCTGGGAAGTCTTCTGTTTTCTGTTTTCTAAAAGAAATAGGGTAAAATTTGTGTAAATTTATAAAATGTTGGCAGAATTCTCTAGTGAAACCTTCTGGCCTTGTGTCTTTCTTTTAAAGGGATATTTATTTATTTATTTATTGGGAAGGAATCTCACTTTGTCTCCTAGGCTGGAGTACAGTGTTGAGATCTTAGCTCACTGCATCCTCCACCTCCCAGGTTCAAGTGATTCTGTTACCTCAGCTGAGGCCTCCCAAGTTGTTGAGATTGCCGGTGCCCACCACCACATCTGGCTAATTTTTATGTTTTTAGTAGAGACAGGTTTCACCATGTTGGCGAGGCTGGACTTGAACTCATGACCTCAAGTGATCTGTCCGCCTCGACCTCCCAAAGTGCTGGGATTATAGGCATGAGCCACTATGCCTGGTTAAAGGGGCTTTTAGGCTAAAGGGGCTTTTAAATTACAAATCAATTTATTTAATGGTTCTAGAACTATTCAGGTTATCTAGTTCATCTTTGATGAATGTATGGTTTTTAAAGAATTGGTTCATTTTTTATGTTGTTAAATGTATGAGTATAAAATTGTTCATATTCCATTATTGTCCTTTTAATGGTCGTAGGGATATTCTGTTTCATTTCTGATATTAGTAGTTTGTGTCTTTCTTTTATCAATTTTAATGATCTTTTCCCAAAGAGCCAGCTTTTGTTTAATTGATTATTCTCTATTCTTTTCATGTTTTCAATTTCACTGATGTCTATTATTTCCTTCCTTCTGGTTGCACTGGGTTCATTTTACTCTTTTTCTAGTTTGTTGAGGTGTGAACTCAGACTGTTGATTTGAGACTTTTTCCAAAGTACACATTTAGTGCTATAAATATCCCACTCAACACTTGCTTAACTGTGACCTACATATTATCTTATGTTGTGATTTCATTCAGCTCTGTATACTTTTTAAACTTCCTTTGTGAATTCCTCTGACTAATTTATTATTTAGAGATGTGTTGTTTAATATCCAAGTGTTTGGAGATGTTCTTGTTTTTTTTTCTGTATTGATCTCTAGTTTGATGCCTTTGTGATGTTAGAATATGCTTTGTATGATTTCAGTTCTTTTATATTTATTTAGATTTGTTTTGTGGGTGAGGATATAGTCTGCCTTGATCAATGTTCCATGGACATTTGAAAATTGTGTTTTCTGCTGTAGGATGGAAAGTTCTATTTATGTAAATTAGATTATATTGCTTCACTGTAATTTCAGATTCTGTATTATTGCAGTCTGTCTAGTAGTTTTTTCCTTTGTGGAGAGTGGCTTTTTGAAGTCCCTGCCTTTAATTATGAATTTATCTATTTCTCCCTTTAGCTCAATCAGTTTTTATTTCACGTATTTTGAGGCTTTCTTGTTTGGTTGCTTACACTTTAGAATTGTTAGCCTTCCTGGTGCCTTGATTCCTTTATCACTGTGTAATGTCTCTCTTTGGTTCTAGTAATTTTCTTTGCTCTGTAGTCCACTTTATCTGATATTAATATAACTATTTCTTTCTTTCTTTCTTTCTTTCTTTCTTTTTTTTTTGAGACAGAGTCTCGCTCTGTTGCCAGGCTGCAGTGCAGTGGTGTGATCTCGGCTCACTGCAACCTCTGCCTGCCGGGTTCAAGCAATTCTTCTCTCTCAGCCTCCCGAGTAGCTGGGACTACAGGCATGCATCACCATGCCCAGTAAATTTTTGTATTTTTTAGTAGAGATGGGGTTTCACCATGTTGGCCAAGATGGTCTTGATCTCCTGACCTCGTGATCCACCTGCCTCAAAAGTGGACCACTTATTCATGCTGTCTTAATGAAGATGGATGGTATGGAAACTCTGCTCCCTGCTTAGTCCCACTGACTCATCGCTCATGAAAGGTGAACACAGCATGCTACCACTTTATTGCCAGTAAGTGGAGATGTAAGTTCAGATCCCAGCTGGGTCCTGGAGCCCCCAGATCAATGGGAAGTGGAGGACTGACTCATACTGCTTATTTGCTGCAGGTGGAGGCAGAATTTTAGCCTCCTGTTGGCCCCACAGATATAGGGGAGGGAAGAAGCAGGATGTCAACTACTATGCCTCATATCACTTCTTTCAGCCTCCTTGGTTAGTATGAAGGCTTATCTCTCTACTGGTCCCAACTAACACGGGCTCATGGGAGAAGGGGGACAAAGTACTGACTAGGTGTGGTGTTCTTTGCCCTACCTCATTTAGTCTTGGCTTTGCCAGTGGATGTGGAGGTCAAGCTCCTCATTGAGTATTGCTGACCCCACGGGTGGTAGGAAGTGGGATCCCTACAACCCCCAACTTGAATTCCCTTGTTCAGTTGTAATGATGCTGGATGGGTATAGAGAGGTATAGAGATCCAGTCCCCTACTGGGTGTCTCTGACACCCAGAGGCAAGAGGTGGAGCCTAATGGTGACTAACCCTGCCTGACTACCTCATTGAGCCTTGTTGCCCTGGGTAGGGATTTAGGTTCAGCTTGTCATTGGATCCCACAGAAAGAGCCCTGATAGAGGAATTGGAACTGTGCCTGTGTCTGCCAGGTAGGTAATTGATTACCTTCCCACTGAGCCCTGCTAACATTGCCCCAGCAGAGGAATCAGCATTGACTGGCTCTGTGGGTCAAGAGATCAAAGATCAGCTAGTTGCTGAGCCTTTTTTGTTACCATTTGGCAGGGGAATTGGAGTCCTGCATGGTTCTGCCCAGTGAGGAATGCCCACTCTCTAGTGGATACTACTCAGACAGGGAATGTGTCACTTTGACTAAGAGCTAGGGGAGAGAGAATCCTATCTCCTTAGCTATGCTTACCCATAAAGGAGCTTCTGTTATGCTGAACTGCAATGAGGGGAAGAGAAGGAGTAGATTATGGCACAGACTTTAGCTCTTCTTGCTATGATTTAGTAGTTTTCTTAATAAATCTTTATTTACTATATTCCCCTAGGATAATTTCAAGTGACTTTGAGAGTTGTTTTTTTTTTTAATCATCTTTACCAGTTTTGGTTGTTTTCTTTGGGAGCAGGTATGAGAAGCTCCTTACATGTTTCCTTCTCAGAGTCCTCCTGTGTTTGTTCTTAAAATCTGATCACACTTTTAAAGTACGATTATTGGATCATCCTGCATCCTTTTATGTTTTAGTGTAGTACCAACTTCTGTGATGACATATGGTCAACTGGAGGGTCTTGTAAATGAGTGGAACCTTGAACTGGAAGATCAAGAGAAGTGCTTTCTTCTCCAGGCCACTCAGGTCAATGCTTGGGACTGTACATTGATTGAAAATGGTGAGATGGTAAGAAGATATTTTCATTAATCTACCTACATTGCACAAGTATTTGCAGGTGATCACAAGAGAATAGACCTGTGTTTTGTGGTTTTCTTTGTTGTTGTTGTTGTTGTTGTTTTGTTTATGTTTTTGTTTTTCAAAACAGCGTCTTCCTCTATCACCTAGGCTGGAGCACAATGCTGCAATTACAGCTTACTGCAGTCTCAATCTGCCTGGTTCAAGCAATCCTCCCACTTCAGCTTCCCAAGTAGCTGGGACCACAGGGTCACACCAGTACCCCTAGCTAATTGTGTGTGTGTGTGTTTTAGTAGAGATTGGGTCTTACTGTGTTGCCTAGTCTGGTATCAAACTCCTAGGCTCAAGTGATCCTACTGCCTTGGCCTCCCAAAGTGCTAGGATTATAGGCATGAGCCACCATACCCAGCCCTGTGGTTAATTTTCTATTCCAATATTGGTGAGCAGCTCAAAATATATTCCTTAGGTAATAAGTACCCTGAATAGAAGGAAATTTTTCATATTTGAAGTATGTGTGAGAAAATTAATATTGCTCTAAAATTGTTATATAAATTTAAATGTTTATATTATTGTATTCTTATTTCTCTTTATAGATTAGTATTTTACATGGAGAAGTGAACAAAGGGAAACTGGATCAGAAAAGGTAGAAACTTAGATTTCTCAGGTTGAAAGATTAAAGACCTATTTTTTTATTCAGTGTTTTTTTCCTTCTGTAGTTTGTTAACCTTTTTTTTTTTGTCCCTCCAAATTCCTTTCATCAGCCCTTTTATTAACTTATTTTATTCAGGTTGGAACAAGAATTGGACTTTATCCTGTCACAGCAGCAGGAACTAGAATTTCTGTTGACTTATTTAAAGGAGTCTATGAGTGACCAGAGTGGACTTCATTATCTGCAGCATGCAGATGAGGAGCGTGTGGAGACGTAAATAACTGAATAAAGATCTAAGAATGGGACAGGACTTATGCATTGTGAGAACATTCCAGGAACAGAGGGGAAAAGTCAAATCAGAAGGCAAGGAATACAAATTGGTAGAAAAGGACAAGCTTTTGTAGTTGACATTTATCAATTTGTTTGACTGTTTTCTGCTGATCTTTTCTAGATGCTTGTAAATGAGGAAATAATTCTGGCAATTTTGTTTTATAGCATTCCATGTACTGTTATTACTCTCAACCTTATGTGTGTTCATCATAAAATTTTTGTGTTTGTCAAATTTGTTCTTAAATTAGAAGTACAAATTTTATGTGTGTGGTGTCATGGTATTGTGGGATATTTGTGGTCTCCTATTTATGTTGATTCTGCTAAAACTAAGGTTCATGTAATTGCTTTAGTGATAATAATTTGTTATTTTAAAGGCAGTTTGTTAATCTGGAGGCAAACTGTATAGCTTTCAAAATGGAATGATTTGGTCAATGTCTTAGGAGGGCTATATTTTATTTGTGAGCTCTTCAGTCTTCACCTCCTGTCAATACAGTGCCAATGTTCCCAAAGTAACTTTATTTCTCTGGAACTGAGGTTTGATAACTGACCAATTTATTAAGTATGAGAATTTGTATGAATGTACAACATAATCTAGATTGAGACTAAATTTGACTAATTTATTGATGACTTATTATGAGTTAAGACTGGGCCTATCTTTAACATACTTGCAAGTTAACTTTTTTGTAGCAGCATTAAATGTGGTAAGTACAACTAATCTATACTAACTTAAATCAGTTTCTGCTTTTGTATTTCAACCTTTGTGAATTTTTCTTTTTTTTGTATTGTTTTCTATGCATTCTTTTTTTTTTGAAACATGTAGTTACATTTTTTGGCCATAAGATCCTAACTGTAGTTTAAAGAAATATTTGAGACATTAGTTCCTTTCTAGTTGCTCTATGGTAGTCAGATTTATACACACACACACAGACACACACACACACACACACACACACACACACACACATATATGCATTTATTTTTTTTCCAAGATGAAGTCTTGCTGTGTCACCTAGGCTAGAGTACAGTGGCACGATCTCAGCGCACTGCAACCTCCGCCTGCTGGGTTCAAGCAATTCTCCTGCCTCAGCCTCCTGAGTAGCTGGAATTACAGGTGCATACCACCATACCTGGCTAATTTTTTGTATTTTTAGTAGAGATGGAGTTTTACCATGTTGGCCAAGCTGGTCTTGAACTCTTGACCTCATGATCCACTCTTCTCGGCCTCTCAAAGTACTGGGATTTCAGGCATGTGCCACTGTACGTGGCCCAGATTTATATTGTGATGAAATCTTTGCCAGAATCTTCAACCATCTAGGCAACTAATTCTATGGCATAAGTACTATGCCATAGAAAGGCAGTAGTTACCTACAAATCTAATTGACTCTTTTAATTTTTATACACATTAAGGTTGAAAAATCCTCTGGCCACTTTAATTCTCATAAACATATTTATTGACTGGGTCGTGTGTGTGTGTGTGTGTGTGTGTGTGTGTAGTTTGGGTAGAAATCTTGAGAATTTAAGTAACTTGTGAACTTAACAGATTTGTCTATCTTTGATTATTGTGAAGCTTATTCTCAAAACATCTTTTTTTGCCTGATGGAGTATATTTATATGAGGTTTTATTTTGAAAATTTGTGTATTCAAAATCATTGAAGACATCTCAGCATTTATTGAATATTGACAAACCCTAAATAACTTCTCTTTCGTATGTAAATGTCCTGTAGGTGTATTTTGACACCTTAAAGGATTCCTTTGCTCTACAGATCCCCACAACATTCACCTAGAGGATGAATAGGTGATGGTAAAAATGACAAGGTAGATAAAAGCCTTCTCATTTGGAGTATTTTTAGAATATGGTAATAATAAGGTCACAAATGCTGCATCCATGAAAATATGTTATTGGTCATAACTGAGATCCACTGAAAAGATAGGGGAATTGGGCAAATCCAATTGGCAGTGTCATGTTTATATGTCAATAACAAGGTAGTGGAGAAAACACTTTTTGTTAATCCCTTTATTTCACTTGCCTTTTCAGTTACAGATTAGCAGAAAGTATAGATGCTCAGCTGAAACAAATGGCCCAAGATCTCAAGGACGTTATTAATCACCTGAATACATTTGGAAGTTCTGCTGACAGTACTGATTCGGTGTGTTTACTGCTTTGTGTACTTAGACAACCAAGATTTAGTATGAAATTGGTATTTCAGCCAGGTATGGTGGTTTTATGCCTGTAATCCAGCACTTGGGAGGCCGAGGCAAGAGGATGCTTTAGACCAAGAGATTGAGGTCAGCTTGGCAACTAGTGAAATTCTGTCTCTATTAAAAAAAATGAAGAAATCTATCTGGGCATGGTGGTACATATCTATAGTCCTACCTACTCTGGAGGCTGAAGTGAGAGGATCACTTGAGCCCAGGGGTTGAAAGCTGCAGTGAGCTATGCTTGCACCGCTGTGCTCCAGCCTGGGTGACAGAGTGAGATCCTGTCTCTAAAAGGAAATTAGCATTCTGTGGTTCCATTAAGCTAATCCCCTTCTTCCGTCTTCTATAGGGTTTCTTACCTGCCTCTAGAGATATGAACCCCCTTTGGTGTAGTTAGTGGAGCAGGAAACATTAGAGGCAAAAAGGTTGTGAGTTTTTTGTGGTTATTCCCAGGAAGGTGAAAATATTACTCTTCCCTAAGTTGTCAGGGTTTTCTCCCTTATTCTTCACATAAGTAAGTATGTACCTGTGTTTATTTTTCTGTTCACTTATTAGCCAGTTGATTCTTCTTTTTACATATTTGTTTACATACTCATATATGTGTTAGTAGGTATGCTTGTGTCTGTTAGACATAACCAGGCAATCCTTAATGTATTATCAGATTGCATTTTAACATTTGTTAGGTTGACCATTTGAGACTTTACATTTTTCTATAGAAACTTTGTGAAATATGGTTATTAGGTTTTTACTACCCCATAGAATACTATTTAGCTCATAATAAGTGTATTATGTCAGTGGAAGATACAGCTGAGGCTCCAGTTAGAGTTAAGTTGCTGTGAATTAATTTGGCAATAAGAAAATTGGTTTTTCCTTTTTCTATAATTCAAGAGCTTATTTCCTGTACCTTTCCCTATTGTCTTAGCAGCTAAATGGAGTCCTCCTTTTCCCACTCCCACTCTGTGGCAGTAATAGTAAGAGGGATCTCCCATTGTGGGAGTTCCCATTGTGCTTTCTATCAGTAATTATAATTAGGAGTGAGGCCAGGTTCTGGGTAGGTGAAGATGAATGACATATACATAAGTGGCGATCATTCTTTAGTAAGCTCTTTGTTCAGTTATATACAGACAGTTCTTTACATACATATTACCTTTTTTTAAATTATAAAGATACGGCATGTTACAGCGGAGAAAGTATTAGTATTTTGTTTAAGTCATTTAATCTCTCTGGGTCTTGGCTCCTTACGCAAAACGTCAAGGGTTAGACTAAATGATCTTTAAGTCCCTTCCAGCTATAAAATTATGCCATTCTCTACTTTGGGTGAATCTAAAGTTGAACAAAGACAATATAAATAGTGTGAAATTATTCATGCTACCGTGTCCCTGTGTTTACATAGATGATCAAGAGTTTACAAAATACTGATTTTCTTTTAATGAAATACTAGATTACCATTGTAATTCCAAAATTCAAAATTGTTCTCTTGTAATATTTTGATGTATAGGTAAATATATGCAGATTTAGACATGCAGCAGAGCTGGTTTCTAGTTTCTTTGTGTTGAATTAATATAAATGGAGTGTTTGCAACCAAGTAAGTAAAGGAGACTTAGCCCTGGATTGTTTTATTTTATTTTAGTACTGGATAGTAAATGGTTTGAGTCTTTTTGTTTTCCTGGCAGGGGTGATTGGGATGTTTGAGATGAGTCAGTTAAAGGGTAATTGCTGTTGATTGCAGAATAAAAGAAGGAAGAAATCAGTGACAGCTCTTTTTGCAGATAGCATAAATCCTTGGACAAGAAACGGGAAGAACATTTTCTGAACAATAATATACCTGTAGATAATTTATTGTAACCAGATCAGCAAAGCTTTATTACTCTGGGTCATATACCAGGGTAGAAAAATAGAAGCTGTGTGTTCCAGTATTCATGGTGATGAGATTTATCTGTTTTTATTCCCCCTTTTTTGGTGAGGGGCAATGGGAAAGACCACCGAATGTCTAAAATTTTTATTAAGCAAGTTCATATTATGCACTGTGTTATTCAGTCACATTTCCTTATAAAAATCCATAAGGAAAATTAAGTTATCTATATTACCAGTACCTGATGATATACTGCGTATTTCTTTCTAGTCTTTTTTGCTTGGCTGCTAAAATATTTCTTTTGTTTTAAAGAGTACTGGAAACTATATAACTTTTTGTATTCTGTCTTTACTTAATATTCATTCATGGTCTTTCTCAAAAATTTTAACCATTCTTTGAAAACATGAGTTTTGGAGAACGATCCAAGATGGCCGATCGCTAACATCCCGGGATTGCAGCTCTCAGGGAAGGCGCGGAGAACTAGAGGACGCCACACTTTCAGACAGTCTGGTCGCTCACGGAGCAGAAGATCCCCCAGTGGTGGAAACACACGGGTCGCCAGCGCGACTCTCGTGGTCGGCGCAGCGGTTCCGCCGGCACCTCGGCGCGGCAGCTCTCGGAGCAGAGTAAACGGGACCGCTTCCCCTTCTGACCGAGGTTTGGAGCCCCGGGAAGGCAGAGTCGCCTACTACGGAAACAAGAAGGAAGCCCGACAGGAGAATCCTGGGCAGAAAAGCACCATCAGTTTTAACGCCGTTGCTCTGGCCCTGGGAACTAACAACCTGGACGTCCACTCAAGAGACCTAATCTGAAAGTTGGTAATCTCAAAGACGAGAGGAGGAATAAATTTACAATGACGGGAAGAAACCAGCGTAAAAAGCTGAGAATACTCAAAGTCAGAACGCCTCTCCCTCTAAAGATGATCACAGTTCCACATCAACCATGGAACAAGGCTTGATGGAGAACGAGCGCCTCCTGATGACAGAATCACTCTTCAAGGAATGGATAATAACAAACTTCGGTGAGTTAAAAGAACATGTTGTAGCCCAACGTAAAGAAACTAGGAACTTGAAAAAAGGTTTGATGAAATCCTATTGAGAATAGACAACTTAGAGAGGAGTATGAGTGAATTAATGGAACTGAAGAATACAATACAGGAACTGTATTATTTAGATTTGATTATCTACTCTGGATAGGTTCCTGGAAATAGGATATACTGACTGAGTCAAAAGGTATGAATATTTTGAAGCTTTTGATATGTATCATAAAAGTTTACATTTTGAAAGGTTAAGTCAATTTATGTTACTTTTGGCTGTATATGAATTGTACCTATTTTCCCATATAATAAGTGAGTATGTCTATTTTTTAAAAATTACTGATTTGGTTGACAAATGGTGCTATTTTTAATTTTATATGAATTCATTGTCTTGGAAAATATTTCTTAATGTTCTTTATACTGTAGTAGTCAGTTTCTTATTGAATTATAAATATCCAGTTCCTATAGTTGCAAATAATTAAATTGAACCAATACATAAAGATAATGAGCATTACAAATATGAATTAGGAAAAAAAAACCCATTAGTATTTAGTAATTCTCAGTCGATTTCTTACCATAAGAAATTAAAAGCCACTTCCTAATGTCAATTTCTTATGTTTATTTTTATTTATCACCTCAGAATAATCATAATCTAAAAGTCTTATATGTATTTTTAACTCCAGCAGATCTGCAGAATTCTGAATGCCCATATGGACTCTCCACCGTGGATTGATCAGAATTCAGGTGGGAATTTGCTTGTATGCCACTCTCTGTATTTATTGCAAGTAGAAAATGTGATACATGTCAGGTTGTGTTCTCCATGAAGAAACTCATATAAAAGCTGTTGTATGGGTGTTGTTTGACTCACAGTATGTCTGTTTTAGTTCTGAAACACTGTAATTCCTTATTTTTTCAATGAAATACATATGGGATAAACTAGAAATTAATGAAATAGAGGATGGATAGGAATAGGGTACATAGAACTGGAATAGGAGCAAGACTTCTATGAATATGCCTTTTTATACAGTTTTGACCTGAGGGCCATATAAATGTTTTAGATACCAAAAAATTAGAATTAAGTAAAATTAATGAGAAGGAAGACAAATACTAAAGTTGAATACATACTGAAACCAAACAAACCTATGTAACTAATTTATAACAATCTCCTAGTTCAGATAACTTTTGAACATAGTGTTTTGATGATGCATCCTTCTAGGATGTCATCTTAAGGATATAAGGAACTATAAAGAAATTTTAAACTTTCTTAATAGTTCTACTGTTAGCTTCAGAATTATAATACCAATATTACTACCATTTCATATATATTGTGAAATAAAGCAAGCATGTTAGGGACAATAGAAAGTCAAGATTTTCATTGAAAGTCAAAGAGATACAAGTTATTTTTCCTCTTCTTTATATTTGCATTATAAATTTGAATTTAAGATATTGGTAATGAATTCCTGCTCCTTTATTCTATACACAGAATGGTCTAGAAGCAATGATAGACACACCCCAGTAGCAATGAGCACACCCAGAACCTAGATCTGGTTTCTTTTAAATGCCATTCTAAATGAACCAAGTCTTCTTGGGGAAGTGTCTAATCTCATGCCTCAGGCTGAGAAAGTACAGAGTGACTTGGGACTTCTTGTGCAAGAAAGCAATCATTGTTCAGTGAATAATAAGGTTATATCAGGGCACAGATTGTGCTTGATGGGACTCCCACTGGCCACATTAGGATGGTTTGAACATCAAAAAGAATAGTAATAGTAGTAGATTATAATAGATTGAGGGAAAAGAAAAGCCCATGAGTCTATAATGATATTCCAAAAGAAAAAAAAGGAGATACACGTGAAAGTGTTTACAGAGGCATGCCAGCTAATTATTAAAAGAAGGAATGGTCTACGGCCATACCACCCTGAAAGCACCCGATCTTGTCTTATCTCAGAAGCTAAGCAGGGTCGGGCCTGGTTAGTACTTGGATGGGAGACTGCCTGGGAATATTGGGTGCTGTAGACTTTTTAAAAAATAAAATAAAAGAAGGAATGATAAAATTAGAAAACTGCCATTAAAAAAACTTTCAATAGAACCCTTTTATTAAGCTCACCTTGAACACCCTCATTTGTAATATGTTCAAACTGTCATTTCTTGGCAGAAAAAGACACTAGCGGGAGATGGACCCAATACAGTCTATAAGTTGCTGAGTTAACTTTTTCAAAACAGTTTTTTGAGACGTAATTTACATACCATAAAGTTTACCCATTTTAATTGCACAATGAGGAAAAGAGCCATTTTGCAACCACAGCAAAATAATTGATTCAGGCAAGGACTGTCAATGAATGCTAAAACCATTGAGTTTAAGATTGTTGGAGTATAGGATATTTATGTGATTTCAAAAATATCACTCCACAGATTACTGAATAATTATAAAGGATAAAACATGCCTTTATAACAGCCATCTGACATGTACCACTTTAATGAAGTGATCAAACAGCCTCTCCAATAGTAGGATAACTCAACTTTATGTGCCTCTTGATCTGACATGATAAGAAGTATACAGTATCATTTATATAGTAGCCTTATCAAAAATTTTTAAGTTGAATCTAATAATAAGAAAATAATCAGATATCCCACATGTGAGACATTCTGAAAGATGATGTAGTAGTCTTACCCAAAATGTTTAACTTGAATCTAATCTCAAGACAATAATCAGGCACTCTATGTGTGAGACATCCTGAAAGATAATTGGTTTGGACTCTTCGTTATGGGAAACAAAATTCAAAACAAACAAAATAACTGGATAGTCTCAGATTAAAAGAGGCATAACATTCAAGTCTACTTTGTTAACCTTGATTAGATACTGATCAAAACTAAAAAGATATTGTTTAGAATATTGGGGGAATGAATATGGACTATGTATAAATGATATTAAGGAATTGTTTATTTTACCAAATGCAATAGTTATGATCATATAGGAAAATGTCTTATTCCTAGAAGATGCAGACTACATTATTTAGAGAATTTTCATGTCTGTAGGTTACTTTCAGCAAAAAATTGCAAAGAGAAAATTTAGCAATTTGTGGCAAGATGGTAACAGTGGGTTAATCTAGGTAAAAGGCGTACAAATATATGATTTTAATATTCTCTCAACTTTCCGATAGATTTAAGATAAAATTGGGGGGAACCATTTTTATAGACTTTGCCTAAATTTAGAATATAATGAAGTCTAAGAATTAAGACAAATGGGCTAGTTAACCAGAGTTAATACTTTTAAAGATGTGGCCTTAAAATAATACAAATTTTATTATTTGGCATTCTATATTTTTCATTTTCTACATTAATAGAGGTCATCAACCATGAACTTCTTCAGCTTCTTTCCCTTCCAGACATACCTGTATCATCATTCATATTTACTTCCTTCTCTCCTGTTTTAAGGAAAAAATATCCTATCCATTTTGAAACTGTTTTGAATTATCAGAGGGAGGTTGAATTATATATTGCTTTAATACTTTTTAAAACTACTTGATGGGGAGAGGTTTCTAAGTCAGAAAGATGTAGGTTCAAGTCAAGGCATTACCCTGTAATTGTTCTGTGACCTTAATTGTTACTTAATCTCTCTGAGTCTGTATCTTCATTTTAAAATAAAGGATAATATCTACCTTTTAGGGGTTTTGTAAGGATAAAAGAAGCATTGTCAGTAAATGGTAGGGGCAGACTGGTTACTGATTATCAGAATTTACTATGTTTATGAGGTCAGGTAAGAGAAAAGAAGGGTCATGTGGTTCAAAAGGTAGCTATTAAATTGGAAGGCAGTTCCAGATAGATTATCACCAAAACCACTTACCCAGAGAAGTTATAAGAACTGCTGAGATGTGAGTGTCAGTAACTGGAAAACACTGAGGAATGAGATTAAACCAATGTTTGACTTAATTGTCTTTCTGTTGCATGTTTTCTACAATGATCAGTGCTTCTCGGGTAGAGTTGAGGAAGGTGTCAAAATGTAATTTGAACTGTAGAGAAAAATTATAGCAATTTTTGTTTTCTCTTGGCAGGGATCCTCTTTGTCATAAACGAAATCTCAAGGCTTTCAGCCACTGTTCCTTGATAAATTAAGATCGTTAGCATTGAAAAGGACTTACTTTATTTAAATGGAGAAAACTGTGGCTCAGAGAAGTGGAATGACTTTCTTAAAACACACAGCTAATTAATGGCAGAGCTAGGACCAGGATCCAGACTTCCTTATTATCAGAATGATATTCTTTCTTCCGGCGTGCTCTTAAAACAGCTGTAATATAGGCATCACTGACTATAAAAACAATCTTAGTCATGTACCTACTAGTAGAGGACAAAGGTTTTCAAAGTATGATGATACTTAGGATAGGATGGTAAGTTCTAGGTATCTGGGAAAAGTTCAAAGTCAACACAGGATAAAAAGAGTAAAGCAGTAAAGAGTAATGATTACTGTGAGTTACTTTTTTACTAAAAATTATTTGAGCTGGAGAGGCGATGAGATTTCATATTGGTTCTCAACTGAGACAAAGGAGGCCATGATAAAGAATGATCCAAAGCCTGGTATTTCTTGACTCTGAGGGCTCTTTTTGCCATTCCCACCCAAGAAGCCGTTCTTTTTCATATCAAGAAATGACAATGTGAAGAAATTAAGAGTGGCAGGGTTTAATTATGCTGTCTTGAGAGCTGTTTTTTTTTTTTGTTATTTTGTTTTTTAGTAGTTAATTGGATCATGTATGCTGAAATGATCTGTGTACTGAAAAGTTTTAAGAGCAAGCTCTATGAATCCATTTATTCCTCCTCGAATAATAGTTGTAGAAAAAAATAATAGATGTGTTATAATTAACAATACAAATATTATAGTTTTTTTAATAAAGAGAAATCTTCAATTGTATATGAAGTCAAATCTTTATTTTAAAAGGATTCTGGGAAATGTTTTTATAATTTAATATCTTTAATTTGATACACATTTTTTCCATCATAAAACATGACAACTGTTACACTAAGAGGATCATATATTTAACTAAAAAGTCAGCTCTTTAAAGTGATTTGGAGGCTGGGCACTGTCACTCATGCCTGCAATCCCAGCACTTCAGAAGGCTGAGGTGAGTAGATTGCTTGAGCCCAGGGATGCGAAACCAGCCTGGGCAACAAAATGAGACCTCATCTCTTAAAAAAAGAAATAGCTGGGTGTGGTAGCACGCACCTGTGGTTCCAGCTACTTGGGAGACTGAAATAGGAGGATTGAGCTTGAGAGTTCGAGGCTACAGTGAGCCATGATTGTAACACTGCACCCCAGCCTGGGTGACAGTGAGAATATTTAAAAGAAAACATGATTTGGAAATGAAACATTTATTCTATAATAATAGTTATAGAAAAAGTAATAGATGTGTTATAGTAACAATACAAATATTATAGTTTTTTACTAAAGGTAAATCTTCAACTTGTATATAAAGTCAAATCTTTAGATATGTTAAAATATTATATAAAAGTTCTCTCAACTTTTCAGTATCCATGAATAAGTTACAGAGAACCAGGCCCCTTTCTTTCTCTAACTTATGTGATGGGTTAGATAAGTTATGGGGCTGAACTAGAAAGGTATCGGAGTACGAGATAATTGAATTAAGGTGTGTCTTAACATGTGTAGGTAATGACCATGTTTACATTTGATACCCTCCTTTGTTTAACATTAACTATGCCTTGTTTATCCAAATTAGTGTAGATAATTGAGAGTTAAT